TCTCCCTTTCTTCATTTCTCCCTCTTTCTCTCCCTCTCTCCCTCTTACCCTTTCTCCCTGTCTCCCTTCCTCTCTCTCTCCTTCCCTCCCACTCTCTCCCTCTCTCTCCCACTCTATCTCTCTTAACAACTTTTCCCTCTCTTCTCCCCCCTCCCTCCCTCTTTCTCATTTATTGGACTTGTTTGAGAACGAATGTAAGGAGAAATCTAAACAGGATTAGCATTAGGGCGGTTTTCTACCCAAAATTTAAATTTTCACCAGATTGACTCCCTTATTCGAGGACTATAAAAAGAAAATGTACAATATCTATATGCACTAAAATGACTTATAAACAACCACACATAAAGCAAAACTTTCTCTCTTTGAAAATTCACACCACGGCATTCCTTTATTCCCCTAAAATTTCCTTTTCAACCATTTTTTTTTATCCTGCGTCTCCTTCCTAAATCCTAAAGAAAGCATGACCCACACAATAATCCTTCCCCTCCTCCCCTCCTCCCCCTCTCTCCTTATTAGGCGCACAGCAATCACAGAATTTGCCCCCGACGGCCCCCCCCCCCCAGCCCTTCGAGACGACTCATAAAATCTGCATAATCTCCATCCATACACAGCATCAACGCGACCCGGGATGAATACGTATAAAGTCGTCAATGGGGAGGAAGGGAGAGGGGGAGTGGGAGGGAGGGAATTAGGGAGGGAGGGAGAGGGGGAGTGGGAGGGAGGGAGGGAGGGAGGGAGGGAGGGAGGGAGAGAGGGAAAGAGAGCGAGAAAGGCACACTGGCAGAGGCAGAGAAAAACAAAGAGAAAGAGACAGAGACAGAGAAAGAGGAAGAGACAGAGACAAACAAAGAGAGAGAGCAAGAGAGACAGACAGAAAGAGAGAGATAGAGAGAGCAAGAGAGACATAAAGAGACACGAAAAAGGAGAGAGCGATAGAGACAGAGAAACAGAGAGAAACAGAGAGAGAGAGAGAGAGAGAGAGAGAGAGAGAGAGAGAGAGAGAGAGAGAGAGAGAGAGAGAGAGAGAGAGACAGACAGACAGACAGACTAAGAGAGAGAGAAAGAGAGAGAGGCCGTAAGCGAGGAGTTGGTAGGCCTAACGCTGCCGCCAGACTGAGCCTATAGAGTATGCGTGCCTGTGTCTGATAGTCCCAGGCTTGATATTGGCCCTCGTGCCTCTGTTCTCTTCCTTCGTGCTTATCCTGATCTTCCTACTTGTCCTCATTACCTTCATCGTCTCTTCCTCCATCTCCTTTTTATCACTCTTACTGTTATTTTTCTATTATTTTCTCCTCGTTTTGGTCATTATATTGCTCTTTCTTTCATTTCTCTTAAGTCTTTTTCCTTTCTCTCACCTATTTCCTGTTCTCTCACTTTCTTCGCCTTACCGTACTTTCTTCTTTTTTCCCCTTCTTCTTCTTCTTCTTCTTCCTCGTCATATTTTCTTCTTTTTCTTTTCGCTTTCTTCCTCTTTTTCCTCTTCTTCTTCTTCTTCTCCTTCTCCTTCTCCTTCTTCTCCTTCTTCTCCTTCTCCTTCTCCTCCTTCTCCTCCTTCTCCTTCTCCTCCTTCTCCTTCTCCTCCTTCTCCTTCTCCCTCTCCTTTTGCTTCTTCTTCTTCTTTCTTCTTCTTCTTCTTCTTCTTCTTCTTCTTCTTCTTCTTCTTCTTCTTCTTCTTCTTCTTCTTCTTCTTCTTCTCCTTCTCCTTCTCTTCTTCTTCTTCTTCTTCTTCTTCTTCTCCTTCTCCTTCTCCTTCTCCTTCTCCTTCTCCTTCTCCTTCTCCATCTCCTTCTTCTCCTTCTCCTTCTCCTTCTCCCTCTCCTTTTCCTTCTTCTTCTTCTTCTTCTTCTTCCTCTTCTTCTTCTTCTGCTTCTGCTTCTACTTCTTTTCTTCTTCTTCTTCTTCTTCTTCTTCTTCTTCTTCTTCTTCTACCTCCTACTCCTCCCCCTTCTCCTCTTCCTCCTCCTACTCCTCCTCTTCCTCCTCCTCCTTCTCCTCTTCCTCCTTCTCCTCTTCCTCCTCCCCCTTCTCCTCTTCCTCCTACTACTCCTCCTCTTCCTCCTCCTCCTCTTCTTACTCCTTCTCCTCCTCCTCCTCCTCCTCCTCATCATCATCATCATCATCATCCAAATCCCCTTCCTCCTCCTCCTCCTCCTCTTCCTCCTCCTCCTCCTCTTCCTACTCTTCCTCCTCCTCCTCCTCCTCCTCCTCCCACTCTTCTTCTTCTTCTTCTTCTTCTTCTTCTTCTTCTTCTTCTTCTTCTTCTTCTTCTTCTTCTTCCTCCTCCTCCTCCTCCTCCTCATCCTCCTCTACCTCCTCCCCTTCCTCCCCTTCCTCCCCCTCTACCCTTTCCCTTCCCCTTGTCTTTATTCCTCCCTTCCTCACCATCATTTTCGTTCCCCAGGGCTCAGGTATCATCGTCTGTAAACCCAACCTCCATATATGTTTTACCAGAAGCTTTTTTCTTTTCTTCTTGTGTTCTCGAATGTCCTATTAAACCTTCGGAGAAAATATATATACATCCACATTTCTGCTTAACGTCATGTCAGATGATGCAAAAAAAAAACAAAAAAAACTTGCATTTGATCACCTGCTTTCGATGTGTTAATTAGTTTACACTACTTCGGGAGTGTCAAATGGATTATGTAAAATCATCATTTTTTTTATTATTATATGTTATTACTATTGTTATTGTTGTTATTATCATTATCATTCTTATTATCATTTATATTATTATTATCATAATTATTATTAAAAAATAATTTTCATCATCATTTTTGTCATTATTTTTATCATCATTATTATCATTATTATTCAGATCATCATTAGTTTCATTATTGTGATTATCATCATTGTTATTATTATCATTATTATCATTTGATCATTATTATTATTATCATTATTATTATCGTCATCATCATTATTATTATTATTGTTATTATCATCACTACTCTTATTATCATATTATCATATATCATATTATAATCAATATCATATCACTATCATCATTTATTTTTTTTATTACCAACATCATCATCATCATTATTATTATTATCATTATTATTAACATTATATTATTATTATTATTATTATTATTATTATTATTATTATTATTATTATCATTATTATTATTATTATTATATTATCATTATTATTATTATCATATTATTATCCTTATCATTATTATCATAACAATCATAACATCTTTATTGTTATCATCATTATTTTATTATCATTATCATTATTATTGTTACTATTATTATATTATACTCACACATATTCACACACACACACACACACACACACACACACACACACACACACACACACACACACACACACACACACACACACACACACACATATATATATATATAATTTTCGTGGGGCAGTGCGAGTGGGAGGCCAAGTCAGGAGGCAGGCGAGGCCGACGGGGCGTGGTCAGCACAAGAGATTTATGGGCCTGATGCACATATACATTTTTTCTTACGATGCCTAACATTTTTCTGATTAGTTGGGAGACGATCGTCGAAGAATGAGGGGTGTGGGGTGGAGGAGAAGGAGGAAGGGGAGAAGAGAGGGAAAGAGTAGAGAGGAGAAGGAGAAAGAAAGTGAGAGAAATGTGGAATAGAAGAACGAGAGGGGAGAGGGGGAGGGAGAGAATAAAAACTGGAATAGATGGGGGGAATAAGAATTTTGGAAGAGGAGAACGGAAGAAAGCCTAGAAGAACGGGATGAGAAAGACGGAAGACAAGGAATATGGAGTCGAGGATTCGGAGAGAAGGAAGGGTAAAAATAAAAAAAATAAATAAAAAAGTATGGAGTGGCTGATTTTTTCTTCTTTTTTTAGGAGAGGGAATAGTGAAGAGGTGTGACAAATAAAAAAGAAGTAAAAAGAAAGAGTGAGAGGAGAGTGTCAGAAAAGGGATACATCAGAGCTCGTTCCCAGTTCTGCCTCCTGCGATTGGCTGGGCCGCCCCCGCCCACGCCTCTGACACGTCTGGCCCTGACACCTGCACTGACCGATGAAGTCTGACTAATGCCACGAGCGCCGAAGTAACGATTTTCGCGTCTGCCGGAGGGCGTCGCGTCCGGGGGAGGCTCGAACCGACGCCAAACACATGTCGCTGGACTGGACAGCTCTGACGAGTGTATGTGTGTATGTATGTGTATATGTGTGTGTGTGTGTGTGTGTGTGTGTGTGTGTGTGTGTGTGTGTGTGTGTGTGTGTGTGTGTGTGTGTGTGTGTGTGTGTGTTTCCTGCAAACACGCACACACCCATATACATATATAGATACATAGATATATAGATGCATTCGTACATACAGATATATACAGACAGATACAAATATAGTTATAGATACATATATATAGAAAGAGAGATAAATAGATAGATAGACAGATAGATGCAAATACATATATCTGTACACGTATACATATACTACATCGATAGAAACATATCCTGTAAACCTTATCATAAAGAATAGCAGCCTACTCGCCCAAAGCAGCAACAGAAAGGATGTTCTAAAGGGTTAACCAGAACGATCAGTCAGCGCCGTCCCTCTCGTCATGCGGGGGGGGGGGGGAGTCTTCTGCATTAAAAGCTGGCTAGATTTTTCAAATTCATTTTGACATTTCTCGTTAGTTTTGTGTAGTGCTCTATTTGGGTTGTTTGAGAGGGATGGGAAAGGGAATGCATTTGGGAGATGATGGAGTTTTAAATTATACACATATACATACATACACACATACGTAAATACATACACACACACATACACAGAGAAACACACACACACACACACACACACACAGAAAGAGAGAGAGAGAGAGAGAGAGAGAGAGAGAGAGAGAGAGAGAGAGAGAGAGAGAGAGAGAGAGAGAGAGAGAGAGAGAGAGAGAGAGAGAGAGAGAGAGAGAGAGAGAGAGAGAGAGAGAGAGAGAGAGAGTGACAACAGTCAGCGAGACAGACAGACAGACAGACGGATCCCGGGGCATCTACTCAC